ATTTCGAACACTAAAAACTTTGAACGTCATCAAAGTTCATCGTTTTGTTTTCGCCCGGTTTCGTCGTTTTGTTTTCTCCTGGTTTCTCTTTCTTTCGACTTTTTTGTCTTGCTGCCTGGTTTCAGGAGTCTACCGTACTTTGTKGCTCGGCTAGTGGCAAAAACAGCATAATGTTTGAAGATTTCTTTTTCTGTCAAAAATCCATCCTGGAATTGAACAAATAATCATTTTTTTTGAAATAACAAGTATGTACATCTGTCATACAAGAATTAGTACCGGCTTAGTATTCATAATTTAACAATCAGATTGGACTTTGTTTTCTAGCCTTTTTGTGATATATGTCGAATGTTTGAAGTAATACTATTTCGGATCTGAAATCAGTTTTAGTTGTTTTACATGATACTTTCCTCCGTTCAAATCTTATACTATTAGCATGCTTATACTAGCCGTCAGATAACATACTAAGCGCATTCTGGTAATTGTGATAAAATAAAGAAAGAAATCAAACGAAAATCCAAGTTAACTTGTCGTGCGTGATATAAAGTGGATGTGAATCCGCACTAATTAAGAAAAATGCTGCATATTGAACTTGTTTTCACAGAGAAATTTGCGTTTAGAAACGACAAATTTTTAAATATGATTGACTGTGATGTCAAAAATTAAAGTGCTGTAAATTATTTCTCTATACTCGTATTTCTTATTAATGCTTATAATTTCAGGTTTAAATGTATATAGTTGTTTTCGGGTAGTAGGATACTCCAAATTGATTTTGAACTATTTATCTTCATGCTAGYCCCCTTAACATATTCATACACCGCACAAAGCGAACCCTCAGACCTCCCCCTCTTTATATAGGTCCAAGAGTTGCGGTATTCACAGACCTTGTTATCATCGATTTCTTGTGTAAGATTTTCAACATCAATCTGGAAAGGATGTTTGTCTTTAGGAGCCAACCAAGCTCTTACTTCTACCTGTAGAGTAAACGGGTTTMTAGTACTCAAGGATAAAATTAACAAGTTTTTATTTTTGAGAACTTTGAAGAGCTGTAAGAGACTTCAACTTAAAATAATTGTACCTCACTGCCTGAAAAGTTTATGCCAAGGCATTGTAATCGATAAGGGTACCCTTAAAGATACCAGCTAAGACGATGAAATATCTTGAAATATCCTAAAAGATACCGGATTCCTTATTTTTACCCCTAAAAGATGCGATGATCATTCCCACCCTAGATATGGGAGATGATACTACTCGACGGCAGCAAAATATACGTAAATACACGAAGGCCAGCGCTAGTTTAACAGGGTTATTTTGTGTGTAGAATAATTTTCAATCGATTTTTCACTTACCGAATCCAAGAAACCATCTTTGTCAGTGTCAAAGTTTTTAAAAGATCCATCAATCTCTGATGGCACATTATCAGCAAAACCTTTAACAACAGAAAAAAAGCTTATGTATATGACATACACTATATGACATACACTATATGACATACACTATATGACATACACTATATGATATACACTATATGACATACACTATATGACATACACTATATGATATACACTATATGATATACACTATATGATAGAATGTTGACAGCTTCTACACATGGATGGTCAAATGTATCCTACATTTCGATGATTGGCCCGAAACTACTAGAGCTCGATACTTTTCTACAAACCAAAGAGATGGCTATTGAGCCGAATTCGCACTGAGTCCAAATCGTGCAACGAGAAGCACTTCAAGTCACTTCGTCCTTCTGTACCTATATCTCTCTTGTTTCGCAATATCGACTGCTTATGCTTTGTTCTTTTTCTTTTTCACTGATCTATCAGGAATAACTTGATCCTCAAGATAAGCATGCCTGCACGGCCACTTACCAGAAAATTCCTGGGCGGAAACCTTTCCATCTTTGTCTTGATCCATGCCAGCAATAAATTCCTGTAAAAAAAGAACCGTTCATTTAACATTACTGAGGTAAACCATCGAACTTGTCTGTCATAGGATCTGAACGACGCACTTTTACAGCGAGTTCATTCTCTTACCGGGCGGTGGAATGGTAGCCAAGAAAACACATTGGTGACGTTGCTTCTTTTTAATGTTTTCTGGTGTACTTACAAAATACTTACACTGACAACGACAGGMGTCATAYCAGGTGATTCATTAGGGTGAATCATTACACCAAGTTCATAAGAAGATAGCTTGCCATCGTGCTCGCTRTCAGCCAAATCAAACTTCTGTTTGTCAAGTTTCTTCATTTCTTCGGAGCTCTTTCTGTGTTCCACTTGTTCACCTTGTRTAGAGAATGAGTTGTCAGCATTACAGTGTAACTACCTTTTGGAACTGTCACATAGCAACTGCCAYCTTAGCAACCGCACTGATTCGGTATATGCTTGACAACGCTAAATTTRCCGCAATTGTGAACAAAAATGTTATATTGCAAARATGCGARTGAGGAATCCGGTATYAGATTTTAAGGGACGGACTACTGAACAACAAGAGATCACTAAAAACACGTGCWTTGCAGACTTCTCTACCTTTACTGTATCCAGCTGCTKCTTTATACTCCTCCCAGGTCACGTGTTTATCGTTATYTTTGTCAATTTTTGGCATCTGATTCTCTCCTTCGCTCACAAGATAACTGTTCATTACGTCTCTGATCCAGTCTCCCAGCTCTTTCTCAGAGAGTTTTCCATCTTTGTCAATGTCTATTTCTCGTATTAGTTTTCTACAATCAAAGACACTGATGGTTACCTAGGGATATCCGCATAGTGTGAAAACTACCCTTTATGTATGAACTCCAACCTTTTTAATATTCGGACCGACATGTTTTTTTCATCGTCTTTTCGCTCTTTTTCGATAAAATTCCATGAAAGATACCATAAACCGTGCAGATCGCGAAAACGTAGACCATGCGCCGCAACAACTAAGGCGAACAATCCCTAGAAAGCCACCGAACCGACAAAAAATATCACTTCAGCAGAAAAATTGACAGCAAATTCTCGGATTGATGATTTTCATTTCAGTTGCATGTTTTATATCGGAATACGTTTCTATCTAGATAAATATCACTGGWCAATAATTGTCGGGAGGGGGTTGAACAGAGAGTGGAAAAAAAAAGCCAAGGAACGTTAATCGCTTACCCCATCACAAAGTAAAAATTATTATGAATTAAAAGACTAGACTACACACTTCAAAGTGATGATAAGACTATTTGAATACTTACCAGAGAAACGTTTAGAGACTTGCACAGATGACATTGCTTTGTTTTAGAAACTGCTTGGCCATCAAAGACTTTTGATCACAGGTTATCGAATATAGACCTTTTCTACGTAAGCATGTACTTTTTAAAGKCCCATGGTCCACCAGCATTCAATGTGGTTGTGTTTTTTAGATTTTTCATGGAAAAACGAGATGACGGCTCAACTACTATTGTCAATCCGTTTCCATCCGTTGGTTTTCAATGTCGAGCCCTACAATATCTCCATAATATAGAATAAGGAATGATTTTGCTGATATATTACGATTAGGAGCTCGCTTCTGGAACTGTATTCTATTCCCCTTAATATCCGAAACAAATCTAAACCAAGCTTCAAAAAAGCGGTCAAGGAGAAATTATTCAGAATATTCGAACAAGAAAAGGACTATGTTGAGGTTTCCGAATTTATACAAGTGCTTTCCCGTTCACAGTAGCATAGATATATAAATCTCAGTTTAGCATCCACAATTCTTCTCTGTTCCCCCAATTTTTTCCGCTGTTTTAAACTTTTTCTCTCACTTCGTTTCGTCAAAAGTGAAATTATAATAATTTATTAACTTGTTTTTCTTTTCCTCTTTTCAAATTATTGAATAATTTATTAATCAYATATATATATATTTTATAATTATATCATTGTCCTGCCTCGATTAGCATTACGCTATTTGCAGGACTGTAATTGTATACATTATTTATTTTCGTGAATAAACTTGTTGTTGTTGTTGTTGTTAATTTTTATTTTCAAACATAAAAAAGCTCGAAAGGCTGATGGACCATGTGTACATTGTTTTCAGAAATGTTTATGATGGACTGAGCCATTGAGTGTAAATTGTCGATAAAGTTAACATGAAAGGGAACTACTATATGACATACACTATACTGAGCCATTGAGTGTAAATTGTCGATAAAGTTAACATGAAAGGGAACTATAGCAATTGTGAATGAAAGTCAAGGTTTTATTAGACTTTTGGTTAATACATTTTACTGTGGGAGGGGTGGGAGGTATATGAATTGTATACTATGAGAGACTATTTATAGTGCCGACGAAATGACAAGATCTTACTGTTACTCGTTTGTTGAGTCAACAGTTCATCAAATTAAACGACTTAAAGCTTTTCCCTGTCCTTCGCCAATTAACACAAACGTCCCCTCTCTTCCCTATTTCAAGTCATAAGTTTAGATTTGGACCCTCTGGATTCTTAAACCCATTCTCCTGATAATTATTGCCCAGTTCCTAGTAGCAAAAAGCGATCTTATGCCGAATTCAATCACAATCGCTTCCCAAGTGTAAATAAAATCCGACTTCAAGTATTCTAGAAAAAAAACACTCCCACCAGGCACAAGATGCATTTATCAAACACTTTGACTTCCCAATAGAAAAAGCGTTATCGATATCCCTGACTGACCAATCAGAGAGATTAACGTGGTTGTACGGTAGATTGATTTGTTGACGCTTGTAAGCTTTTTCTGCTAAAATCTTTTTTTTTTTTCAATTTGTCAAAAGATCTTTTATTCATACATCGATCTATGTAGTTTGTTCTATCAGGCACTTTATTTTCTCTCTACAGATAGTGTGGCACCTTAGCGTATATTATGAAACGTTTTGTTTGTAAAATGATAATTAATATTCCGTTAATCACAATGCAAAACCACACGACAATTCTTACAACTTATTATCCTTTTATAATAAGACAGTTTCAACGAGTTACAATTACCTTTGATTCTGTAACTGACTTAATTTTTCTTTCGAATARGCCGCAAGTGAATCTGATAGCTGTGTGAGATGACATCTTTCATGGCCACGTCACCCAGTCAAGACAAATCAATAAATTTAATTCACTAACCTCATTTTCAGCTTACTTTCCTTAGAATTCTGGATGTGCATATCCGCTGTATCATCGATTTGTAAAAACGCCGAATGATCGAATGGTTCGCTTTCGCTGTTTYCTGATTCATTGTTTTCGTGTTCAGTCAGTTTCTGTTCGGCGGCTTCTGAACACATCATAACATCAACACAAACCACCAAAACGAATGCAAAATAAAACTTCATCTTAAAAATTCGAATTCTACAATGATGAGATCGATGAGACGGAAGAAACCGAACGTTTGATGTTGATAGAGTGATCTGACAGTTGATTGATGGACTGTTGTGTTACAGTCATGTAACGCAACACTTCAGTAGTTACGCGGAATTAYTTTTAGCCACAGCGGAAACATTTGTATTGCGTCCTCGAAGTTTGAATTTCGTTTGACGGATTTCGKTTTTTTCTGCGACTAAGTATCAAATGCTTCAAAAGCRCTTTCTTTTAGAGATATATATGTATAAAATTGTTGTACTGACGAAATTTGGAAACTTCGCCTTAATTCACAGCAAAACCAAAAATCCTAACAAACATCCAAAACTCCGAGGTCGTGATTCAAGGGTTGTCGTTTTAACYTCGAACGTAGGTAGTCATGGGCGATAAACGCACATTACTAGATGGATAGTGTAAAAATGTATATAGCTGCAGGTAAAAGAATAGTTTGCACATATTTTCACTGATTCTTTCAATGRTTGGCTTTTTTTAATTAATGTATCTGGTGATTTCAGTCAAATTTGTAAAATTTCAAAGTTCATTGATTCTCGAAAAATAAAACAACTTCATTTGYTTTTTTAAAAATATCTCACGAACAGTAACAACATTTAACAATATTCAAAAGCGCGAATCTACAGTGTGTGCACATTCTACCGCATTAGAACAAAATTACCTCTATGTATTAACAAGTCAGTTATTTCTATTACTGGCTTTCTATATTCTATGTATATATGCTCTGTATATAGCGTGACATGCAAAAATAATAAACAAATTAATCCTCGAGTAAAAATTTCAAAAAAATCCATATTATTTATAAACGTATTAATCCAGAGGTTGTAGCATAAACTATTTGATTCAAGTCTGTTCTTGAAGTCACATCATGCTATATAAGCATTGTGATTAACCACTGGTCTAGAGGCCTGYAGACCCATCAAGTGYGCGATATCCCGGACTCTGGTACGTCGTCTGTCCTCTTCAGATTGTGCTTTGGCGCCAAACGCGTCCGTCATTAGAGCACGTTTTTGCTCCTGAAGTGTGAGCATGCGCTCTTCGATGGAATCCATAACGATGTACTAAGGTGAGATAGAGACACGAATAAAGATACTTCATCACAATAAATACACTCCAAGGAGCTAACGGACGTCCGTTCTCTCACTTTTACGGGGTACAGTATTGGATCTTTATCAAAACACCGCTCATATTAGTGTCGAGCCAGTTCTACCGTCACAAAGAAGAAATTTCGTATAAATTTAGATTGCAAAACTAAGAGGTGACACTTTGACGGCAACAACTATCGACCGCTCCCCGTCAGACGAGATTGGAATAACACGATTATCTATGGCGCTGTTTATAACTTATTTTGGGGAAAAATGAAACCCAGTTAAGTCGATATGTCAAACTGAATAGAGTAAGGGATGATATCCATCATCTTTACACGGTGTGCACTTAAACCGTTGATCGTATCGTGTGTTCTGTAAGTGATATCCACTCGATGCTCGCAGTTCTCTGCGAACAGATTTACTTTTCTCACCCTCCGCTTTCTCACGGGTGTGAAAAGTAGATCTGTTCGCAGAGTATGCCCGCAGCAATTATCTAACTCTACTATATGATTGGTTAAGACGTTACCTTGGTGATGATGACTTCATTAGTTTGCCCCATTCTGTGACAGCGATCAAAACACTGTTCCTCTACTGCTGGATTCCATGCCTAATTMATTGATACAATAYGCTTTAGTAATAACACTCTCCATTGAATGGTTGAAAAGAAGTTCTGTTTTGACATCGGTCAAAAAACTTTTCGTTACCTTCCCCGAGCTGTCAATCATGAGACAGCCAATCAATGTGGACACGACCTCATGAGGCTCTTCTTTGTAGTAAAGGATAACGATACTGGTAGTGAGTAGTATTAAATCAATCTTTGTTTTTAACGAATTCATGTGTTATTATTTTCATACACCACTTTGACAAACCAAAGCTAAGCCCGCGATCTATAGATATACAATCACTAAGAGTTCCGAAGAATAAAATAATCAGAAGAACTATTTTTAAAATTTCTACTTGAAAGCAATATTTTTGACTTGGTAATGGACACTGCGGAACTACACCCTGCGG